GATACGGGAGACCCTTTTCAATAATACGCTCATAAGGCACACACAACGCCAAATCCCTTGATACAGGCAGTCCTTATTTTGTCAGCCAGGTTGAATGAGGAGTTTGGGGCCACAGTTATTTCTGGGCAAAATCTAATGAGATGTTCAGTCTAGAAACCACCATTTAATTCTCAGTAATACACACATGCTTGTCTTACAGTTCTCAATAAGGCTGAAATCATTACAAAAATGAAGTTATCCTTCTGTTGTTACTTTCATGTTGCTCCTTGCCCATTCACTCCCTACTGTCTTATCACACTTCTGGGCTTTATCCTGTTTTAGTTAGGGTAGAGAGCACCAGCCTCCTTCCTCTTTTAGGGTAGGATATTTAATAAGCACTGAGTACATTAAAAAAAGGGAAAAAGTGCATCTAAAACATACACTATGTTTTTATGTGCCTTCAAATCAAGGGACCTCGAGCAGGTTAAGATGCTACAAGAACACCTATTCAGAGATGGAAGTTTTGCCTTGTTAGTCTGTGCCGTACTAAAGTACATCAAAAGATGGTTTGAAAGCCATTCATTCACAGATTCCCACTGAAGCAAGACATGCACCTCTGGAGATCTCCTCGGTAGCAAAGAAAGTTACTTGATACCAAGGGAGAATCAGGAGGAGTCGTGTCAGGGCCCATACCGCCCGCAGGTGCTGCTATACAAGTATTAGAGCAGAACAGCATGGGTGACCGAGACACAGCAACACTTAACCCAAATCTCTTCTGGATCGCTGTGAGAGCTACTCTGATGTTGCATGTAAACGAGCCTCTTGCCTATTTTGACTGCTTTATTTGATTAGCCTTGTCAGAAGTAAGGTCAGGCCAAACTGTTATGGTCATTAAAGATGAAAGCCATACCTCAGGGAAGCATCATTTTGTAAAGAACAAGGTAAGAATGTCACTAATCAGCTGGAGCGATAGCCTCATTCAGATTTGGGTAGCTGTGCTGCCTTCTAGTGCTTCTGTCTTCTTTAACAAAAGATGCAGTTCTGCAACAACTTTTGGAGCACTTCTTACTATAGAATTGATGATTAGCTGTGGTTTTAGGGCAGCAGTTCTGTTTCCTTTTCCTCTGTGACCACGAAGGGCTACATCACCATGACACACCGGTAAGTGACCACGGTACTGCCATGTCCATAGTGCCATGCTATCACAAAGTGAAACAGCGAGGAAGCATTTATATAAGTGACCACCTTAAACACAGCTGTAGAGAGTGGAAATTCTTCAGTGAAATACAAAGACTGGCACGAAACCTAGGTTTATGTTCCATCCCTTTCTCTCAAGAGTAGTTGTGACTTTTTGATCGAGGCATTTTATTTTGGTACCACCTGAAACACATTTTTAAATGGAGCCATGGGAGCACTATGATGCTTGCCCCTGTTGAAAACTACGTACAACTACTAAGAAGATAAAGCCTTCCAAGGCCATTAGGCCTTGACCTCAAATCTTATGAGGCAGCCAGGAAGATCAGCCAACGAAAGCATTTTCTGACAAATGTTTCATGATTGCTATGATCTGTCTTATAAAAACCTATCTTTAGTAAAAAATCACGTGGTGGGGACACAGCAGCACCATCTAAAAGCTAAGACTAGTGACTGCGTATGCCCTGTGCTCTCTGATCCAAGTCTGACAAACTGGTAACTGAGAACTTAGTTTCGCTTTTACCTGAGTTTTTACCTAGAAGTTAAGAGACTACACCAATTTGTGCTGTTCAAGTCTCCCCTGGAAGAAAGAGTCTCATTTATAGTGAATATTGCATAAAGTTAAATCAGCTTATCAGCAGGCCATATTCTATGACAGAACAGACTATTTAAGGCAGATCAGATACTCAAAATTTCCTCCCACCAAATCAATTTTTCTGATAGGAACACTGCACTGATACAGACGTTCATTTTGCAAGAAAAAGGTAGCCATGCTCTATTTAAGTGCTCATAGCTAATTTAAGCACCCTGCAAATTTAAGCAAGACCCCGCAGTTTTCATGACTGATGTCCTCAAAAGACATTTTTCTCCTAAGACAGCCAAATGAACTAAGGGGATCCTCCCCACCCCAGCACAGGTAACTGTGGCTCCCACTCTCCCCCAAAGGAACCCCCCTCTCCCCACCACCCAGACACTCACAGACCTTTTCCTGCGCAGGGTACAGCATTACTGCTCTTCCATGCTAAAAGCCGTGCCATCTCTTCTCCAGTATTTCACATTTTTCTTCCACTGCTGTATTGTTGATCTTTTCATTTTACCCCTCTTTCAGCGTGCTTCACCTTCTCTTTGCACATCTTAGTAAGAACGCCGAGAGTTCGTTAGTCCCCTAGTTGACTGTAACAGTCCACAGCCATTTGTGTGTAATCTGTTTTGCCACTCTATTCCACAGTGGAGAATGCTTTTGACAAGCCATAATTGAATTGTGTCAGATGTCACTGAATAAAGGATAAAATTTGGCAAATACCGAAGTTGCCTTTATATTAGGCCTTCATTTCTTATTGTGCCAACCCCCCCGAAACTAACAGGGAAATTACTTTTTGTATGTTTGGAAAGGGAATGGCAGAAAAGCGTGATAGTATTTGAGCTCCAGTTATCTCTGCTGCCTCTGAGGTACACTGGCACTGATGCATGCTATGTGTAATATGATTGTGAGTAGTCGGACAAACACTCTCTTAGCTGCCTTCATTAGAGATCACACAGATTTCTCTGGCTACTCCACAATCCAGCAAAAATGGTCATTTTCTTGCCCTCAGCTTGCTCACCTGCCTTTTCCCCGGGGCTGCAATCTCCTCTAAGTTAGAGAGCCTGACTTGTTTGCTACCCCATTTCCATCAGAGTTGCTTGTGAAAGAGGCGGCAGGACGTAGTAGAGGAATTAAGTTACAACTCCCTGAAAAAAAGGTGTAAAAAGGGAAAATGTTGCAGCCTTGTCCTGAAAGTGAGCAGAAGTCGTCTTAGGACATCAGAAGTATCTAAGAGGTACCTGAACGGACACGAAAGCTTTTCAAGTACCCTTGAGTGGATGCTGCTTCCCCACACGTGCAAACCTTTCCCCTTACCTCCACAGGCATGCCTCCCATCCTTTCTGTTTTTCCCTTCTCACCCCCTCTCCCTCCACATGTGCTTACCAAATCCCTGTCACCAGCCAGAACTGATTAGAACAGAACAAAAAAAACCCGCAGCACTCTGGACTAGCATTCATCTGCTACAAAGCAAAATAAATATCACTTATTAATTAGCCTCGTTTTCTCCTGCCTTTTTGGTGCGCTTTTAGACTAGTTGAAAAGAAACTCCAGGAGATCAGCAAAGGGTTATGCAGAACTCAGTGCAGCTTTTACAGACATCAGGAGGCCTTGCTGCATAATTTAGGTCTAATGCAAGGCAGTTCACAGGGACTCGCCCATATGCTGAGACTGAGCGAAGTTCAGTTTTCAAGGATCCCTTTGTTCTTTCTGTAATTACCTAGCCCACGTTCTCCTCAACCATTCAGCTTAACCACATATTTTACTTCCATCCCTGAGTAAGTTACATTCTTGGTTTTCCATTTCAATTTCCACAGGGCAAATAAAACTGATGGAAAGCGTTTTGACAAGGGCATTGTTATTGCATCCAGTAGCCCGAGATGACTCCAAATCTGGATATTACATTTAATGTTTCTGGGACAGATGCTGTTAGGTCTTTTCATAGGAACGCAGTATCATCTGCATACATTAGTAACTTCTGTGCCTCACATTGCATACACTTTATATCCTCTGAAGTTTTCAGAGACACTGCTGACAATTTAATACTACAGGGGCACCTCAAACATTTTTCGTCACAAAGCAGGGGAAAGGATAACCGTGGAAGCTCATGCACCGAAGGGGCAGAGTACCTTATGCATTTATTTCCTTCAGCAAAAGGTGCAGCAGCAAGAAAAAACTGCCCAACTCATCCTCCTAGTCACAGAAGCCTGAAGAACCAAAGCTACTGCTCACAATCAGCATCTGCTTTTAGGTGACTAAGATTTTCTTCAGTTCAGGTGCTGTGCTTCTGAACTCTGCCTTCTTACTGCTCTAGATACTATGGACAGGACCTTCCCGGCAGCGACGACGCTCAGAGCGGGGACAAATGTTGAGTGCTCCATGACCATGGGCGTACTGACAGAGAATGGGTGTGAATGCAGAGTTGAGGCTCATCAGTGTGACAAGGTGAGCAGAGAATAAAGGCAGTGAAAAGTCAACTGAATTTTTCAGAGACAAAAGGCAGTTCAGTCACAGTTGTAACAAGTATTTCTGAGCTCACAGCAACAGAATCACTGGAGAATTTCACGTAGAACTACTGCATTTCCAGCGTGGTTACATGGAGCTCCTTACAGAAGGCCTCAGGCAATCAACTTTATTCCTGCCTTTGTTAATGAGGTGCAGAATCACAGATTTGATAGTTTTTCCAGTTTGATAGTTATCCAGTTGATATTCTTTTGTATTCAGGAAAAAAAAAATCAAATCTGCATTAAAAAGTCATGTTTGTGATTGCAAAAAACTTGTAATTACATACACAGAGATGTACACACAAAACGTATGAGATATATAAATGTACACAGTCTCACACACACACATTTCCACACAAGCAACTCATCTACCAGAAAAAAAAATCTCTGTTCTTTACAACACCTTAAAAACACATTCCTTAAAAACAGTTATTATAAGCTTCAATCAGGGAAAGGACCCCTCTTTGCTGGGAGAGGGATGAAAGGGCTCCATTCCACTTCAAGACAAGCATTCAACCTAATATATACACTGTTACATGATGGCATCATAGGCATAATTCAAGCAGTGCTGGATCAGAAGTTTTTACACCTAATCCACGGGCAGTACATAGGAAGACACGGTTTGCATGTGCACACACATGAACATGTGCACGTACGTCTGTACCTTTATCCACAGCATTGTGTAGCAGAATTGAGGGAACCTAAAACCAACATCCGTACATGTTCTCATTGGGACCCTCTTTCCTCACACACCACAGATACGACATCACGAATTCACGTAACATTTCTTAACTCGGTGGATAAGCCACTTCTCCAGATTGTTTTGCTCGTCATTACTGTAATTATGTAACAAAACTCTCTGAATACTGTGCCATTATTGCGGTTATTAATCATTCTGCTTCTGTTTCAAATATGTGCTCTAGAGACTGCTGGATATACTGCATTATGCCACAAACTGAGTACCAATGCTAAACGCATCTAAATCTACTGTTTTAAGGACATTTCAACGTAATTTACTCTTTCAATTTATATTTTTGTAAGCTCAAAAATACAAAAATATAAAAAAAGAAAAAGCTCGTGTCGATATAGCTGCTGACCTTTGCGACTGTAAACAAAAGACAGTTTTTAACCAGTAAACAACTTCGCAAATATGAAACCTGTTTTGCAAGTGCTTGGAATAGCGCTTAAGATGACAGACTGCATACAAATCAGTTCTTACAGGAAAACAGATTTCTAGACGTGTTTGAGAGAGAATGCAGGATTTCCATGACTTCAGAAGCAGGCACCATTCAGACGACTTATTTTAAAATATACTGTATTAAAATCAAATTAGTAATTAAAACAAAACAAAAAACAGTGCAAAAAACCCACCACGCAGACCTCCATTCTAGGATATAAATCCATTTAAAAGCGTCACCTTGAAAATAATACAAAGCTCCCTTGACTTCATAAGGACCTCCGAGGCCCACAAGTCCACATAAGAAGACACATTCTGTATATTAAGCTAAACTAAGTCAAGCGGCTAGCTTCCTTTTTATTAGGCAGCAGCTGATACAAAACTGCAATGCCCTGAATTCAGTTGCCTCGGACATGTTCATATACACATACTATATTAGAAATAAATATTAATTTAGCACATATCCCTTACAAAAAACTCACAGGCACCAGATGGACTACATTTTCTTTAATTTAGCTACATACATTGGACCCCATGCTCTCCCTTTCTCTGGGAGAACCAGAAGTTCATGCTGTTGCGTCCCACTGAGAAAAGTGAATTCCTGAGAAACAGCTTTGGCCATTTCACTTATGTCTACAGGCATAACATTACTGCAGGAGTTTAGAATGAGATTTATTACATCGCTGTTTTCTGCCTTTGAGAGAGTGCACGTAGAGTAGACCAACGATCCACCAGGACGCAATGCTTTAATAGCAGACCTGCAAATAACGAAAAAAAAATTCAACGTAAGAAGTGTCATACCGGGGGTGGAGGAACATGTAAAGACTTATAAATCTAGAGTTATAAGTAGGTATAAATAAATATGAGAAAAATAACATCATGAAAACGTCTTAACAGTATATAATTGACAGTTCAGGGAGCTACCTGCAACACATTTTTGCTTTCTCATTTATTCATGTATTCTCAGTTAACTGAAGGTATTTTTTATACAACAGTCATAAGTAGAAAGCAGCATCCATTCAGAGTTGCGGAATGTACTTCAAACATTTATATGCGCAGCACAACTGTGAAAATGCTGCAACTATGCAGACAAAATGGGTTACACCTCATCAGAAGTGCTAGTTAGATACTTAGCTAGCTGCTTGCGTGAACAAATATCAGAATGTACAGTTGCAGTAATAGCCTGAAATAATTACCAGGCTGTAATTTTACAAACATGTCTTCAAATTCTGCAACTTATTTAGCAGGTAAGAGGGCTCGGGGGTTTCACTGAGACACTACTTTTCAACCTGATTTCCTAAGGAAATATGACTTATCTGATCATATTGTCTGTTTATGCACCCTTCACCTATTAATCTGTTGACAAATTCTGACTAAATGAAGGCAAAATAGTGGCTTAAGATTTCAAGTATCCTGAAAGCTTCATGACTACTGGTGGATGGACAGAACAGAGGTTTTTTCACCTCCCCACTGAAACTGAGTTTAAACAGACTGTTTACTTTCCATTAAAGGAGATCTGCAAGGTCCTTTTTCAGACAGATAAAATATAACCTATGAAAGTATAGAACTGAGATATGCAATCTATATTCACCTATTGCAAATTAAAAGAGTAAGGAGAAAAACCCCAAATCTTGCACCACAGAAGAGCATTCTTCAAATCTGGTGCCACCACATAACTGAAAGAGGAGGCTACACAAAAAGTTCATTTGCTATTAAAATGCTCTCTTAAGGTAATCCCTTTTAATCATACACTTTGGAGCCTTCAAGGACATATTGGCTCAAAGACTGAGTTGCAAACTAGTATTCAAACAGATCACCTCACTGCTTCTGGAAAACAGATACTACTGGGCTGAAGCAAATACCACATTAAAATACAATTATTCCCTAAACAAAATTTCTTTTGTTTAAAACCAAGAGAATCTGAACAGATGAATGCTGTAACTCAGCTTGTGAATACCAGAGAGACGACAAGGTAGGTGCTCAGAGGACTCCAAGTGTGTCACTGGGAATTTAGCAGGTGCATGAGGGGCAGGGCAGATACTGGAAGCATGGATTTGTGGAGCACAACGACACACACAGTCACGCTGTATGGAAAGACACTGGATAATCTTACATTGGTAGATGCTACTGACAACACTGCATTGACACCCTGCCCCCCCCCAAAAAAAAAAAAAAATCTCAGAAAAATGAAGCTGGTGCTGGAGAACGGGAACGTGTGAGGA